CTGTTGCGCTTTGATTGCATTGCTCTCCCAGATGACGATACGAAACGCGTCAGGATCGCGGACGACCTGGGCGTAAAGGAGATGTTAAACGCATTATGGAAAACGCATGGCTCAAACTGACAGTTGAAAATAAAACCTGCACTAGTGTATTTTTCTGCTAGATGGTTGGTCTCGAAAGAAATATTAAACTTTCTGAGTGACCAAATCTTTAAAAATCAAAGAAAAATTTGCCTGTTTTCCCCTGTATCTCTCTTTCAAACGTAAGCAACTGAAAATAACATAAATAAGTGAATTCTCGTCAAAACGGTGGCTGCTTCTTGTCGTCATCAATAAGTTCTGGCTATAATATAAGTATGTCACATAACCTGTACATTGGATGTGCATACTGTTAGTAATAACTATAATTGAACTGATGAATACTGTGTTGTATTTAGCGTTCAACAAGGAGCATATTACTCAGCGCCTGTCTATTTTGTTCGTAATCAACGTATAAATATGTGTGTGAATCAAAAATCGTTTTTAAATTGAAAATAATGGCCATGTCATATCAAAACGAAAGCCTTTAGTGTATGTGATCAGACAAACTGAAAAATACTAAAATCTCGTTCGTGTGGTTTCTTATGGGCCGCTTGGAATGCGCCGGACCGGGATTGAACCTGCCACCTGCGTCAGGGGATTCTATCCTAACACTATCATTACCGCTCGAGTTGGCTCGTAACCGAATCTCGACGCCGACAGATTTTAGGGTCGACGAATGCGTATACGTCGAACGGCCCGTACAATTTTACGGTCGCGTGTCTGAAACCTTAAATCACATATTTATTGTCGTTTAGAACGTTTCAGGCATGTTCGTTTACATTTTTGTCGCGTATACGTCTCAACGACCACCGAGTTTATATCACATACATATAAATATCCCCAAAGGTGTACGGTAAGGCATTACACGACGGCGAAGAGCGCTGATTTCGCATTTTTGTATATAATAAACACGATCTGACGTACGTCAACAACTTGGTACGCGTTTCTTTTATATGATGATATTATTATATATATATACACATATATAATCGTATTTCGTACGCTATCGAGACGATAAGATCTCGCGGAACACCGAAAACAAAAACGCGTAATCGATACAGATAGCGATTTATCGTATCGTAAAAACAGTAGTGACGATATGACGACCGATGGAAACCGTTTCGGACGCAACGAATCTGGAGACGCGAGGACGACGAAAAGACCCGCTCATATGGGCCGAGCGTCGAAACACGACGGAAGAGGTTCGAAGGCCGGAAAAATCCAGAAGATGGAAAAACGTTATATAAAACAATAATAATGAGTATGACTCACATGAGCAAATGAGCGATAACCGAGACACCGATACGACGGCTGTTGAGAACGATATACGACGGGAGATATGGACACGACACTGGAAGAAAACGAATTTTCGATTGGCCGGGACACTAAAGTGCCCGCGTTCTGGCGGATTTTTCGGGAAGCTCGTTTTGGTTTTATATTATAAGATTATTTCAAATAACAATTGATAGGATATTTTTTGATCTAGATAATATATCTTTTGGTAGTACTGGAGTAACAGACCTCCACTATTTCGATGTCACTAAAATATTTTCGTTGACCTGATTTTGACTGACCTGTTTTTATCATTTTTCCAGAACCTTTTTTGTAATGATTGTATTTGTAATAAATAATTAAAAAAATTGTTTTTACTTTTTACAAATTAAAAAAAAATATCACCAATTTTTTTGTGACTTAATATCATTCCGTCAAAGGCTTCGTCCTAATGGAAAGATGCTCAAATAATTGCTGATTGTTGAACAATGTAATTTATTAATTATAACTAATCAATAGCCTCACTTCCATGAAAATTCCTAGCAACCTACTTGGACGCCTGAAAATGAACTGATATAAAGATCTACTTTTTATTAACAATTAAAATCACACCCAGAGTGCCACCAACAACTAACAAGCGTCTTCACTTTCTTGTCCTAATGGTTAGTGCCCTATTAGCTACTTCCTACTGCAATCATTATTATCTCATTTGCTTATTGTATAGAATTTTTGTTGTTACTTTAATTATTGGAGTTGTATTTGTACATTAAATGACATGAATTATTGTGGCTTAAAAAATCAAAAACATATTTGTTTTGTTAAAATTATTACCATGCGATATTTTAATTTTTAATTTTATTATAACTAATTTATAGATGTATTATTGTCTATGGTATTATGGTATTATTATTTATTTATTATTTATTCGTATAAGTCTAATGAGTAATATGTCCACAAGTCATGACCTAGATCGTATATTCGTATATAATATATTCTCTAGCTACCTACGTGTTTTAAACTGCAGCTAATCATGCCATGAATCTGTTTAGGTAGGTACACTAAATATAAATAATATATGGAACGACAGTATATTGACTATAAATTAATAACAGCTATAATAAAAGATACTTATTAATTATTGGATATATGGATAGGTACATTAATAAATTGTAAGTGTAGGTACAAATGAACAATTAATAAAACTATTACAGGTTATCTAATTAGCTATTTACAATTATATTTATAAGCATTTTATAAATGGAGTATGACCAACAACAATTAATGTAAATACATTTTTATTTATTAATACCTAATTAATAATCAGTGATGTATTGGAAGCATACAGTGTATATCTAATATTCTATTTAAATCCATGGCGTATAGCTTATGAGTTATAACAAATTAATGATGCGCGGGTATACGACCGTATCTACCATATATTCTAAATAACAATTTTAAATAATATATCAAGTATCATAATATCACGGTTGTTGTTAAATATAATACATCAATAATCTTGCAATTATGATATTTCGATAGTCGATTGTATAATAATGTTTTTTGTGTACTACAATATAATTCCAATGTGTATAGGTATTAAAAAATCAAAAAGATTACATTTAAATTTTTTTGTTTAAAATGTAAAATATTAATTGATAAGATAATTTATTGTTTTTAATATAGTATATTGTTAAGAGAAATAAAAGTTATATTTCGAGCGGAGCAAGAAAAAATTTTTTGGATCCTACCAGGATCTCTCCATTATACTAGTATATATCTACGTGAATAAGGCATATACCCAGTTTATTTTAGCAATACATCACTGTTATTAGTTAGTAATAACTCCCACGGTTACACCGTACACGTCTTACTATCAGACATCTGAATCAAAAATATAGGTAGGTACCTATTTGTATTTTAGGTATATATACTTTGCACTTAAAAAGGCAATCATTAATTTAATATTTACTATTAAGCATAAGTTAAATTCACTTATTTAAGATTGTTTCTCTTTAGATTTTTTATTTAATAATCTTAAAGGAACTTTCAAAATTAAGTAGTAAAGTAATACAAAAAATGTTATTGCAGATAAGAAGATTACAATCAGTACATCGATTAAGTAATATTGATACCATGGCATACCGACAGCAGCAGACCGAAGATGAGGCGCCCCTTTGTGTCGAATAACATACTCTATCCAATACACTGCAGTTTCCAAAGGAGACATAGGTCGGTCACGGAAAGCTTCTGATAACTCTTTAGCCTTTTGTCGGTATCTATATTTAACAAATAGGTAAAGATCATAAATATATAACATTCATAATGCATTTAACCTCCTATCGTTCTAAATAAAATATACTTACTAATTAGTAATTGATAATAGTTATAACAGTTAGATATGACAATTGACATATTACAGGAAGATTATGATTCGTGGTATTAAACATAATTAAAATTCACTTACTTAGGATCTGTGAGCATAGATGTTATTTTCATAAAAATTTCATCTTCATTCAAATCACCAAGATTCATCATCTCGGTAACTCCTTTGTTTTCAAGAGCTTTGATATTTGTCATTTGATCACCATAAATAGGAATTGATAAAATAGGAACACCTTCATACACAGCCTCGGTAGTTCCCAATAGGCCACCATGAGATATAAATAGTTTAACATTAGGATGAGCTGTATATCATATATAAATAAAAATATTACTTACATAATATAATAATTAATAATAATAAATTGATATCTATTTATGGTCAAAATTTTAAATGTAATACAATTAACCAAAAAGTGCAGTACCTATGAACTGTATATTTGCAAATATTTATAAAATTTAAATAACATGGAATATATCAAACGCGCATATACTTACCCAAAATATCTCTTTGAGGCATCCATTTTCGAATCATTACATTAGACGGTTTTTCTGGTAGTTCTCCTTCCCATTTCCATAGGATTCGCTGTGGAATTTTGTTGAAAACATTTAAAAACATCTGTCTTTTTTCGGCAGAAAAAGTTTCACCTCGAAATAAACTGCCCATGCAGAAATATATGACTCCATTCTCAGCTTCGTCAATATATTTCTGGATGTCCTATATTTTTGTAAAAATAATTGAATTAATAAATAACGAATATATAACAATTGTCAATTATTCGTAATACAATATATTAGCGTTGAACAGTGTTTTTTTTTTATTTTGTTTATATTCATACCTCATTCAGAGGTTATAATAGTTTTGCGCGCAGATGATCTTTTACATTGACAATATTTTGTGGTGATGACTGTTCTACGATGTATGGCATGAGTTTAAATTGTTTATAAACAAATACAAAATAATCTATAGTTATCAATGCTAACTGATTTAAATGAGATAAATCTTTATAACGTTTTAAACAATTTTTAAAACGTTGTGTTTGAAATGTGGCGTGCTTGAAACAATTTGCAGCCCCTTCCCTTCCTCTATAGGTAAAATATTTAAAATTCAATTTTCGCTTATATTTAAGAGCTTTTAAATAACATAATAATAAATTATATATCTAACTCAACCGACTTGGGTTGTATAAATTATTATGATTTATATTTCGTATAAGACTATATGTATAGTAAGTATTTAATTAGTAATGAATAATGACTATAAACGTGTGCGCTAACTTATAGAACAGGTGTGACTACTATTTTTTTGAATAGGTACTCACCTCTTCAAAACTCAACCATAAAATTAAAATTAATTCTAGTGTAGGTACTGAAAAATTAAAATTACTTAAAATATTTCAATTAATTATTTATTATTAGTGGTGTTAACAATTTATCATTAATATAAAAAAAATCTTCCCTACAAAACTTAAACGGAATTATGGACTATGGTATATATATCTAAGACATCATAAACATCATAGACTACGTCATGCAGCGACTGATTTATATGAAATTATAAAAATCATAAATAACGCATTAAGGTGTCTTCGTGATTATACTTCTGAATTTTAATAATTTTAATAGTTAGGTGGAAAAGACAGTAGGAACCAGGAATAATCTTTTTTGGTATCTACTTATCCGCTATCCAAAAAAAAAAAGATTTTAGGAGTGGCCATAGTTTTACAAGCCACATCCGTACGCACGCCTATGAAAATGACTCAATGACTAGTTTTACATTATGTTCTTTAGAAATTTGAAATAAAAAAAAATTATTTTAAAATAACAAAAATTAAACACTTACTATGGGCAGAGGTTTGATTGGCATTATATGTATACCACCGATTTCTACGACAGTTGGTACTAATGGTTTAGATGCAAACATTGTGAAATGAGAATTAACCAGAAACAAACTAGCGTTCAAAATAATTTGGTCTAATGAAACTTCTATGCCAAGATTTCGTTTGATTATTGCTTCGTCTCTAGTCCGACACAACAATTTATAACCAAATAATTGTATTGTATGAGCAATTGTATTCATAACTCTGTTATAAAAGTTCATTTTTATAGGTAGGCTGGTCAATGTTGAAGGTATACTGGCTAACGAATATGGTTGACCAATCGCATGCTTATTCCAGGGCAATAAGTTGCAACTACTCAAAAGTATAAAAGGTATGTTGAACTTAAATGCAAAGCCAATAAATAATTCATTATTAAAATGTTCTGTGACAAGTAAATCAAATTTGGATGGACTATTTAATAGTTTCATAACACTGTCAACCGTAAACATAGCTTCATATACTTTTCCGTAACTATAAAATGACTCAGCCGTAGTTATCGAGTATATTATTTCGTTCATTGAAGACCAGCCTTCGAAAAGGCTGATATTTTGTTTGTTGTTATGAATAGGTATTGATCCTCTGATTGATAAATTATTTATATTTGGATGTTCTATTGGATAGTTACTGATAAAAGTGATGTTGTGTTTTCGGTTTGCAAGTTCTTGAATAAACGGCAAGTAAACCAAATGATGACTTAAACCTTGATGAGGGAACACAGCTAAAATGTTTGCAGTGTCCGTCGGAGAAATCACTGTTACAGTAATAATTACAGTTACAAATAAAACAATCATTTTAGTTATAAACTATTAAGTTTATTGGAATATTTTAATAAAATTTAATTTTTATGAACATTGAGCACTTGTATAACAATTATTATTTAAAAATAAAACATTTTATACATTAAAATAATAAAATATAAAAATAAATTACAATATTTTGTTTTTAATTTAATAATATTTTTGTACAGGTAAATATTTTAATCAAGAATAATATTAAATAAAATATTATAGTTCGTATTGCCCTACCCAATTGTGGTGGGGATTACTGCGACTTTCATCACCTATTACTAAACTGTCCACTTTTCTCCCACTCTCTCTTTCCAAAAATAAGATTAAATTCTGTCTTTTCCATTTTGGGTATCAACTTTTCCCTCATCAACGTTTGTTCAATTAATAATGTAGCTTGTAGATAAGTATGATTATGCATACGTTTAATTTTATACTTCAATCATATCTTCAAATTTAAAAGCATAAGTTTTACTATTTTATGTGTATAATTATTAAATGTACGTTCCAATAATAATTATTGAGATATCATAGGTAATGTCCTGGTTAAAATTTCCTTTCAATAAAAAAAATAAAATAAATATTTTGTAAGTTAGACAAAATATGACTTATATCTAGTTAGGTACTTAAAAAGTATATAAATATCTTAGGATGATACACTAAAATACCTAGTTTTATCGTTTTAAGTCAGATAAGAACAAAAAACAACATGATTTTATCATGGCATGTTGCCAACAAGTGCATAACATAATATATGAATATAAACTATATATATTACAAAAAAAAAAAAATATATATATAACTATAATAAAAACAATATAGTTATAACAAGGAGATGGTTATTGGTTCATCAATTAAATTATATCGTTAAATGATAAGATTGGGACGTTGCATCACATACTTTTAGATAAGTACTACGTCTTCTTGGATAATACATTTTAGTAATATTTTATTGATTTGTTTTTAGTCGTAGTGATTTAATTGTTCATTGACTTCATTGTACTTTTTCTCACGTGAAAGTAGATATACTTAAGCAATAAGACGGAGTATTACGAACAATACGAACTAATAATTGTTAAAAAGTCAGACTATTGTACATTAATAAATGTAATAATAAATGGACAACAAGGGATAGGCTACTATTCTAAAAATTAGTTATATAAATTAGATATAACCTTACAAAAGCTGTATTATATAGGCGCAAGTAGACTTTGGTCGCAGTCCGCAGAGTATGAGGCTGATAAAATGTACATGTACTCCTCAATAATAAAATTAATAGTTATGGCCATTACCTTAAAATATATGTAATATCCATTTTTGTCTCTGCTTTTGATTAGGTTGGGACGGTTGGGTACCTAATCTAGAAAATAATAGTTTTACAAAAAAATTTTCGAAATTAGAAATTAAAACATATTTTTATGAAGACGTGTTTATTGAAAACGAAAGGCACATATTATTTCATAATATTTGTCATATAATTATAATACATAAGTCATAACTCATAACTCATAAGTTTTGATCATTTTAAAATGTACAGTTTCAAAAAGGTCATAATTTGTTTAAAAACAATAATACCTATTAATAAAAGGTTACGTGGATCCCTAGATCTTACTTTTCAATTGTATCATAAGTGAATTGATTATTCTCTCTATTCTCTAAAACCAAAACTAACTGCACACCATTGAAACTGATGATCGAAAATTTACTAGGTAGGTATGTCGTACGTGTGTAAGACAGAGATGTCACTACCGTTTGTTTTCTCTCTCTTTGGCTTACGAGTAGTATAGACAAAACCCATTTACACAAAATTATATAGACAATAATATTTTTAAGGATATGACATCGATTTGTTTAAATATTGTTTCAAAATAGGTTAACATTAATTTAAACTTACAAAATTTATTTTTAATTTTTTAAGTCGAATAAAAAGTCAAAGTAAAATATTAATAAACTACAAAAATATTTGTAACTACTGGTTATACTGGTATTTCATGATTTTTAATTAAAATTATAATCGAGCTTCCCTATATTAGACGTATTTCTTTATACAGTATTAATTTTTAATCATTAAGTATTTATAAATATTCATAATTATATTTAACTATTCCATAGTATTTAACGGCGATGGAATCGGCTACCATATTTTTGTACGGCAGTGAGTTATAAAATTAACGACGCATTATAAAATTCTAACACCTAAACATTTTTATTTACACAAATCATGTAGTGCGCGAGGTTCCTTCAAGCACAAGACTCTACTAGGCCCGGCCATGTCTGTGTTTAAAGTATAGGAATATAATAGTTATGGATGTACTTAATCTGTAATAAATAATAACTGTTTTGGGTCATTACATTTCCTATAAAACTATCTATAGTTGACAGCTTAACACCAAAGATCGTAAACTATAAACAAATGATGCTAAATTATTATTTTATATAAGCACACTTGGTAATATTTCAAAATATTTTAACTCTTTTTGAGTTATTTATAGACAGTTGAAATGTTCAATATTTTCATTTTATCAAAGATATTAGAATTTTAAATACTTTACTTTAATCATAACTGAGAGGAGAATATAACTACTACTTGCCGTTAGGTAAGCAATTATAAATCCTATGGACAGGAATCACAATATTACTTTAAAACTACATAATACAATTAAACTAAATCAAATATGAAATCAAAATACTGGAAACTATATGTATATGCTAATTGCTAAGTATGTAGATTGGAGCTAAAAATGATGAGCTATTAATTAGGTACTCTTAAAAATAGTTGAAAATATATATTAAATGAAAAAATTAGCTTTATTCAGTTGATATCTACGAGACTAGAGAATTAAATTTTTTTTTGAAAACTTAACATTATTTCAAGTTTGATCAAGTTACAAAATGATAGAGCAATTAATATTTGTTGATAAAATTTAGTTACAAATTTATCAATAGCGTTATGAAGTTAGCCAATTTATAAGTTAATTTCAACTATCACTGAACATGGCCATTATATTTTAGTTAAAAATTCTAATTAAAAAAATAGTATTTCTGGTTTTGGAATCTATGGATAATTATTATTTTTTTGGATATTAAACAGTTAAAAAGTTTCAAATTATAATATGTAAATTTCAAATAATATTAGAAAACATTTTTTTATTGTTATTTTATTTATCTTTCAAAAAAAATTAAACAAAAAGTTATTTCACTTATTTAGTTTATAAATTATTAACAATTATTTTACTCTAGTAGTATAGTGGTATACACTATACTGTATTAATTTTAAAAGTATGTACTCTAATAATTTTAAGTTTTACTTATGTCTATAAACTCTATAATATGTCATTTTCAAATAAACATCTTGAAAGAATTTTATTATGATTAAAAATTCTCATAATTTTACACACTGGTTGACGTGTTATTACATTTTTAGATTTTATATGAAGCGAATAATAAATTGGTATTATAACTATAAATTTCAATAATTTTTGTATTGATTGTCTTAATATTTATAAAAAAATGCTTACAATTATGTCAAAGTTTATCTGTAATTTGTAATAAACATTTATTGATTATAATTTGTATTATAAAATAAATGATTGAAAAAAATATTTTATTTTGTTACAAATATCGTATTTAATAAATGAAAATATTCAGTGGTAGGAAATGAGCAGTACAGCAGTAAATACCTATAATTTAATTCAGTTACCTATGTAAGTATTTTATAACTCAAGACGTACACAGAGGGTTTTTTTAGATGTTCAAACACCCCCTGAAATATTTGGTTATTTCTATGACTATTTAGTAATTCAATTTTAATTTTAATTATTATATTATACTTATAGACAGGTATAATATTACATTATGTTTTTGAAAAATTTCTAAAGCAAAATTAAAATTTAATACTAACAAATTAAAATTTTAATTTAATTTAAAAAAAATAAAATTATACCTATTGTGTATTTCTTATTTTTATTAAAAAAAGTTCTATTTTTTAATAACTGATTTTCAAAAACACCCTCCAAAACTTTTTTTGATGTACGTTCTTGTGATAAATATAATTAATTATTAAATTAACTAAAATATAATATATTAGTATAACTTTAATTTGAATGGATTTCAATAAAATTACACAACTAATATGATTGGTACATATATTTGTTTTATTACTAAGTAAAATAAACAAAGTTCTAGATAATATTTTGAAATTATTTTAACAAAAGTATGTTATGATTTTTTTTATCATTACTATCATACTGTATTAAATTGTAGTTCACTGTTTATTTTATAAAGCTACAATACACTAAAAAAAAAAAAAATTGTTAACATGATTTAATTTATTATTACATTTAACATAATCTTAAAGTTAATTCAAACTATTAGTACCATCTTAAGTTTAACATATTTATGGCCAAGAAGGTTTTTCACCTGGTTTCACCATTCCTCCATATAAAGCACTTCTATCTCTAAAGAGAGTCATCCTTTCTGTTTCTTTATCATCTAAGAATTTTCCAAATAAGGCACCAATTGTTACTGGGATAGCCAATACGAAATATTCCCAGGTTATTCCAAATAATGCATGCTTGGCTGCCATTGTAAGCTATTTCTAAAAAAAAAGTATTAAACATTATTATGTAAATAAGTTTTTTTCCGTATGAAATCACATAATATAAACAGATAAAATCATAATTTTTAAATTTCCTATAAACATATAATTAGTAAGCTATTTAGCACTTAATGATAAAAACATATTTTAAATATATAAATTTTCATTGCTCATTTCAGAAATTGTATTTGATACTTGCGACATGCTTATTACTATGTATAGAAAATAGTAATTAATATTTTTATTATAACAGCCAATATAAGATACTACTAGGGTTCAATATTTTATTTTAGTAATGTTCTTAAAAAAATGTTATTTTACATTATTTCAATAATTTATAATTTATATTTTACTACAAAAAATTTTAATGAGCGCTATGATTATGAGTTTTGACTAGCAAAAAACATTACTTTTGAGACTAAATTATTCATTCTAACTATCCCAAAATTTATAATTAAGTTTATAATAAGTTCTGATTTTGTTTGAGTACCACACTTTATAGGCTTACAGTCATTAATTGCTCTACAGATAGATTTAAAAATTAAAGATATTATTAATGTATCAAAATCATGAACAGAACAATCAACAAATGCAAATGGTCGGGACCAAATTTTTAGGGCTAACATTTTAAATTACCAAATAATTATTATCAAGATTATTGAACAATTGATAAAATGGCCTAAAAATTATAAAAATTTCAAAATTGTTAAAAATGCAAAATAAAAGTTAAAGTTTTAAATTCTTTGATGTATGCAACAGATATTGTACTCAAAAAATTATTTCCTGGGATTTAAAATAATGCATTTTGTATTCAAATTCAGGTCCTAAATATTATGTACAATTGGTTTATTTGATAACTGACTATCAAAGTTGAATATAACACATTATTTTGTTTTTGTTATAACTTATAGGTGTTTTTATAGTAAAACAATAACAGTATAAGGTAGAGGTGAAACTATATTTTTTTATGGCAGACTAAATCTTAAATACACTTTGGTATCACAGTCCACAGGCCAAAATTTTTAGAAAGAAATAAGTAATTTAAAAACAATTATAAAAACTAACATATATTTTAAGCAAATAAGTAGGTTAATTATTAATTAATAAATCACAAATGTTACAACTAGATTTTTAATCTCTTACTTTAATTCTTTTGATTTTGTATTTTTTTCCAATTTAATGTCCGATTATAATCAGCGTAGATTGAAGAAATTGAAAGAATGGGAAATGTTACAGATAAAAAATTGCGTTTGAAGTGGTACCATGCACGACTAAATGCCATTTACCTGAAAAGATTTGGTCGTTTACAGCGAGGAAAAATTATTTTTATTAAACTACAAAAATGTAGAAGTCAGTAAAATTATTTGTTTATAAACGACTTACAAGAAACACATTAATTGTAGAATTTATTTTGCACAATATATTGCAATTTGGAGTTCTGCTCTGTTGACCTTCGAAGCTTGTAAATAAATTGATAACACTAATGATAATAGACGACTTTACCAAACCGGTAACGCGGTATTAGAATACAAATAACCATAGTGAATATTTAGGTATACTACTGCTGGTTATACATCTTTTCAAATATTACGCGCCAACATAAAATTTAAATCGGCATACAATTTGTAGTATTATTAAGTATTAACAATAATAATATGAAATCTATATTTTGGACAAATAAATTTAAGTACAATATAATTATTATAATATTGTCTTTAATATTGTTGAGATTAAATGTTTAGTTGGTATTACTCAAAAAGTTGAATTAAGGATCATATTGTTATTTTTTCACAATTCCTTCATTTACACAGTAGGTTCCTACAAAGTTGCATTTTTTTATAAGTGATTAAAATAATTTTTTTTATGGAATTCATTTTAATTATGAATATTTGCAAATTTTCTAGTAATTGAAAATTTATAAAATTTTTAATTACCTAAATCTTTAAAAAATATATTATATAATAAAAGATTCTCACAAGTTGATCAAAACTTTATTAAAAATATTCTACACGAATACAATAGTAACAAAATTCAATATTTAAAAGAAAAATAACTTTTTTTCTTCTAACAATTTTACAAGAACCAATGTGATTTATCCAGTAATTTAAAATATATGAATAGTGAAAACTTAAAAACTTTTCAAATGAAGCATTGACAATTACATTTTTAAAATATTTAGACTTGATGGTATAGTCGTATAGATAATAGAAGTGAGTAAAATTTCAAGATAATTTAAAAATTCTTTTAGCGTTCTATGAATGTATCACGTAAGAAATAAGAATCTTAGATGCAGGTAAGATAACTATGTATTAATTGTAATTTGCGTGAAAGCTTCTGCAAAAATCTAAAATGGGCTATCTCCCAATATGCGGTCTACCTCCGTTTTGTGTGCTACGTAACTATAAATATGAGTATAGTATGCGGTCTACCAATGTTATGTGTTATACCTATAGTTGGGAATCCTGCATCATTTATCTACCATTTATCTATTTATTATCTACCAATTTATATTATGTTTTATCATGTAACAATACAGGTTACTAGGTTAGTTGGTTTAGTGTCATTTGTGGTAAAACAACTTTTTTAAATTTTGAGCTGAAAAAAAAGATTTTTAAAATACTAGTTAAAGAATTTTATAAGAATTTTTTAAATGAAAAATCTACCATCAAATACCAGCAAGATTATGGCCTACTATCTTGTGCAAAACAATGTGACAAATGACAAATGTGGCAATGAAGTAAAACTTTACCAAAGAAATGAATAATTTTGTGGATCCTTAATAAATTAAAATTTTTTTATTTATACTTTTAATATCTATTTGGAAAATGTTTTTTTATTAATGTGTTTTTAGTGTAAATTATAGTATAACATTTATAAATGAATTTCTTAGTAAATTAAATTTTTTTTATTTATACTTTTAATATTATTACGGTAGACCACGTCCATTTTGGTAGATTGCATATTGGGAGACAGCCTTAAAATGTACCAGCATACTGATTATTTTAGAGAAGTTATATCGCCAAAAGACAATCGTTAAGTGATACAAAAAAATCACAAGTATTCAAATATATGAGTAGGTACCAAAATATTTAAAGTTCCAATAATCAAATTTTGAATAACTGCGTTTTAAAGAAAAAAGAAGGTATAAGCACGCTTATTATACTCTATATAATATAGGTAATGTTTAATAAATTGATAGTTTGTATAATTATAAATTACACGGGCGTCCACAGACGTTTTTTAAGGGGAGGGGGACAAAATTAATTTAAAAAATAAATGAAAATTTTCTATACATTTTATTTAAAGTACATTATTATGTTTTGTCATTATTACAATTAGGTATTAATATTATACATTTTATTTATAGAACATTATTATGTTTCTTCATTATTATATTAAATTATTACAATTAGATAACAATTTTAAAATTCTAGTTGGTGCTAGTGCCCCGTATTGACCCCTCCCCTGGAGACGCTCATGTACTTTTATCATTTTAATACTTAATTCATTGTCACATACAAAAAATTACCAACAAAAATTAATACTTATAATTTCTATGAAATAAGCGGATTTAGGCGATTTAGCGCAATTTAACCTTACATTGTTACCATGAATTAATTACATACTTTTACCTATTATTACGTACCTATACCTATTTTTACAAGACAAGTGTTAAAATTGCCATTATTAAATTAGGTATTAAATGAAAAACCATATAGTTTAAATTTAACTATAATGTTTTAATTTTAAGATTTTAACTTTATAAATATTATTTGGATATATAACTTAAAAATCTAAAATTTTTAATTTTTAACCAACCATATTAAATGGATAATGGACACATTTATATTTATACTTATGTTAATATTTTATGTATCTTTATTATAAACATTTAATTTTGGAAAATCATATAAATTCCAAAAAATTTCTTATAATACCGTATTATTTAGATTAATTAAATTTATATAATTGTATACCTACTTTTATATTAACAATTGATGGCTCGCATTTGGTAAAAAAAAAATGTATAAATACCTATATACTTACTTACTAGTTAATATTTACTTCTAAGTTCTAGATAATGAATAGGGTTATTACTTAATATTAATGATGAAACAGATTTTGAAAAATATGTTCATATATGGCTATTTCCTATCGAATACCATTATTATAAAAATAAAAGAAAGGGGAACTGTGCTAATAATACGGCTGCACTACCTCCTACCACATACTGTGAGTTTATTTTTTGACTCTTATATAATATTAAATTAATATAACATATTTCAGAGCTTTGCACCCGAATAACTCATAAAATTCGTAATCTGAAACCTTTTAACCAATATTGGTAAAATATAAATAGGTACACGAATGAAATATTATTACTTATAAAAATTAGGCATATTTTTTAATAATCTAGTAATAGAATAGGTAGGTATATGTAATTTTTGTACAACTGAATTACGTGATGAATAAAATATAGTAGGCATAAATGGTATATAATATATATAATAATATCTAATGTATAAAATGCATATTGATATTCAATATAGCCAATATAAGTATAAACTATAAGTATATCTAATTAAATATACTCGTAAGTCGTAATAATTAAACTTCTCAGAAAAACAAAAATACAAGTCATGAAAAAGTTATAAAGTTCAAACCAATTTTTTTATATTATAGATATTTTAATGTTATTTAATGAAGATATTAACTCTATCGATTGTTGTTATTTTAAAGATTATCAATTGTTATATATAGGTATAATTCATACCTAATAATATTCAACACTAAACTTGGTAAATGATAAGATATTTGTTGAGTTTATAACTCTACATTTTAATTATAGACTGGAAGACAATTTTATATTTACTATGCCAAAATATTAAAATTAGTTATTATCACCCACCACTTCCAAAGTCGCTGCTGGTATAACTATATAAGTTATTAGTGTTATTACTTATCATATTATATTTTTGGATCGGGCCCGTTTATAAAACTGTACCAACCGTCAGTACGTTTATAGTAAATTCACATCATCAACCAGAGCAGACCGCAGAGCAGTATTTTAGATTTTTTCGTCGTAGATCAGTGAGTATAAAATACATTTTTTTTTTTTTTATTATTATTATTATACTAGTAGGTAAATACACGAAATTGGAATTAGAATAGTCATAAAGCTATAAACGTTATTTTGTGATCACTGATCCAACAATAAGCAAAAAATTAAAACGATATAATTACATTATACAATCATGTATTTCAAATAGAATAAATGTTGAATGTTCTTTATTTTGAAAATAAAACAAAATGTATGGATGATATTTCGTTCTTTCGGTTTTAATGTCAAATATTTTTATTTCCCGTAGTTTTTTACTCTCCAAGGCCCGACTCTTGATTTCCATACAATCTAAAAATTTTGATGTGTGTGTTTTCACTACGATATAAAGAGTGACCTAATCGCTTTAAGAATCATCGTGACAATTTTTAATGGGCTGTTTAATTTACTTATATTACACATTAATAAATATGACTTATAACAATTACTGAAATTTTTTCTATTCAGCGTGATGTATCCTTGTTAACAATATTTATCGGTTTCTAATTGTGATCGTAAGTTCATCATTTAATATGTTTTTTTAGATTCAAAAATCCAAATCAGCAAAATGGATGACGATGTTGCGCCTTTGGTTGTCGACAACGGCTCTGGTATGTGCAAGGCTGGTTTCGCCGGCGATGACGCACCCCGTGCTGTCTTCCCGTCCATTGTAGGCAGACCACGTCATCAAGTTAGTATATATATCCATTCAATGACGATATTATTCCGAGAACTTATTAAAATTCATGAAAAAAAATAAACATTCCCATTTTTATCTTTATTTTCAACATAATATTTGATATTACAAAAAGTAATGACCACTAGGTATCTACCATAAAGCACCCACAAGTACGTAACTATAAAATATGATGTAAATTTGTTACAAATCTGTTGAACAAAGATAAATTAAACTTAAACACGGGCCTTATATGGGAACCAATGGAAATTTTTATTAATTCTATTTTATACATATCATAAAATTATTTAAATCTTAAACAAATTAAACCCACTAGAACAGGTCTAATAATTAATCTACCCTTAAAATTGAAAAGGGTAAAAAAAATTAATTGTTTTATAGTTTTTAAACAGTTTTTTAATAAATAAATAGATATATAATATAATAATATATTAATATACAAATTCATTTTTTAAGAGTTGGTGAACTGCTTCCTTCTCAAGCCATTTGTGTGAACTTTCTACCATGTAAAAATTTACTCATTGTTTCGGTTTACAGACTTTAAATATCTATTAAAAAAAACAATTAATACACTTTTTATGCAGTTAATAAGTTGAAACACAGATTTTGACGTCAAACACATATTAAAATATGATTCTTATAATGATTATATTACCGGAAAAATGACATTGACTAGTCAATATAAGAATATTGCCATGATTTAGTGAGGAATTAACACCAATGACTAGTTATTATTAACAACTACCTAATAAGTTTTTCGATAGGTTATTATCGAAAAAAAGTTGTTTCATCATGTTAATTTTTCATTAATAATGAAATATCGTACATAAATTGTACGTGCCTTTTTATAAATGATTTAAAATTTAAATTATTATAAGACATAACTCATCGCTAATTTAATATTAAAAAAAAAAGGTAAGAAAGTAGGTACTGCTCTGCAGTGCATCAGGTGTCTAATAGGTCACTATTATTAGTACACTAAATTTGAATTTAATAATATATTATTGTATTCGAAAAATGATTTTGAGTGGAACGGTCTATCAGCCTCTATCACCAAGTGATAAGTATTTTTTATGTAACTATTCAAGTGATTTATTTTATTTTTAGATATTTAAAAATATCTATTCTATATTCAATGCTTTTAGTATAATCTTTTTTTAAAAAAATATTGCATTTATGATTATTTGTATATTAAATATATTATTTTTTATTATTATATTTATACAACACAAACTTTAATTACATCTTTCTATAAATTTGCAAAACAATAAAAATAAATTCATAGTACATACTTATAAATAGATAATATTTTAAAATAAATCAAAAAATTTAATATTTATAGTAAAATTAATGATAATATAAAATACACAAAAGTGTAAGATTCCATGAATAATGTTTTTAAATTATAATAAAATAATTAATTTATCGTTATTTATCATCTAAATAAGTAATTTCGTTCAAATTGAAACTTAAAAAGTCTATAAAAATAATGCTTTACGCATTTTTTAAACTACAAAGTAGCTTACAATTTTTTGCAATTTTAAAAAATGTCGTCAAAGTTCTAACTTAAAATGCATTTAAAATTTTTTATCTAGGTATGTAGATATGAGAATAACTTTTGTCGTATTTATACTGGTATCTTGTTTTCAATTTTCAAAACTTTTTACTCGGTGAATAATTTTTAATCGATAGTTCAAAAATAACTAAAAAAAATAGTAATTTTTTTAACACCTGCTTTTGAAATATTAATATGTTATTTTTATTAAAAAAATTATTTTTAGAATTTTTAACTTAATCAATAATTATTAAGGCATATGTTTATGTAGCTAACTCAAAGTCTCATGTTATTGAATACATTAATACGTTTTGAATGAATATAAATTTGATATGTAAAATATACTGAAACAAGCATTTTTATAACAAATCACTCGACAACAATTATTAAAATGCCTACATATTATATTATTATGTAAAACAAAAACTTGTCATTATTTTTATTTACATGTGATTTATGAAAATATATTTATTGCATGTAATTGGTTATAAAAATAAGGACATGGATTAAATGCGAAAATTCTGTTTTTAATTACAAGCAATAAAAATTTATATCATAAATTTTGATTTATCATACTGTACATTCGATAATCAGACCAATAAAAACGTATGGATTTACAATATTGCGTAATATAATATTATGGACATTTAAAAATAACTTAAATATATTAAAAATTGTTAAACCTTTCAAGTTATTTTTAATAATGATAACTAACAATGAAATAAAAACTATTTCTAAATCATCATGTCCGGTAACTACAGCTGTATAACCTACTATCTATTTATCTGTAGTCGTTATTTCCATAATCTATTATTTTTTTTTATTATCTGATTCCTGTTCACGGGTAGATACTATGCGAATACACTAACACAATTTATTTCGCTAGGTACCTTATGCCTTATGGTAAATCACTTATGCCATACCAAACAAAATTTAATGGTAGGCACAATTTAGTGGAAAATCATGTATTCTATTCTTTCTATACTTTCCATTCTTCCTCATTTTTAAAAACAGATAACTATCGTATTAGGTGTCTGAAAATATTTGATTTGAAAAATAGTTGTTATTTATATTTATTTGATTTTTTCCTGTATATTTTGATTCCTTATCATTGGATTTATGTTTGTTATTATAGGGTGTTATGGTCGGTATGGGACAAAAGGATAGCTACGTAGGAGATGAAGCCCAAAGCAAACGTGGTATCCTTACTTTGAAATATCCCATTGAACACGGAATCATCACCAACTGGGATGATATGGAGAAAATATGGCATCATACTTTCTACAATGAACTTCGTGTTGCCCCAGAAGAACATCCAACACTGTTGACCGAAGCCCCATTGAATCCAAAGGCTAACCGTGAAAAGATGACCCAAATTATGTTTGAAACTTTCAACACTCCTGCTATGTATGTTGCCATCCAAGCTGTATTATCTTTATACGCTTCTGGCCGTACCACTGGTATTGTTTTGGACTCAGGTGACGGTGTCTCCCACACTGTTCCCATCTATGAAGGTTATGCATTACCTCACGCTATTCTTCGTTTGGACTTAGCTGGTCGTGACTTGACCGACTACTTAATGAAAATCTTGACCGAGAGAGGTTACAGCTTCACCACTACTGGTATGTATCTAGTCACTGTTCATATCTACGAGAGTTAAGCTAGTCTAACTTATCTCTAAAATAATTTTCACGATTACAGCTGAGCGTGAAATCGTCCGTGACATCAAAGAAAAATTATGTTATGTCGCTCTGGACTTCGAACAGGAAATGGCCACAGCCGCCGCTTCTACTTCCTTAGAGAAATCCTATGAATTACCTGACGGACAAGTCATAACCGTCGGTAACGAACGTTTCCGTTGCCCAGAATCCTTGTTTCAACCATCATTTTTGGGAATGGAATCTTGCGGTATCCACGAAACTGTATATAACTCCATCATGAAATGTGACGTTGACATCAGAAAGGACTTATACGCTAACACTGTACTTTCTGGAGGTACAACTATGTACCCAGGAATTGCTGACAGAATGCAAAAGGAAATTACCGCATTGGCTCCTAGCACAATCAAGATTAAGATTATTGCCCCACCAGAACGTAAATACTCCGTATGGATCGGTGGTTCCATCTTAGCTTCTCTATCTACCTTCCAACAAATGTGGATCTCTAAACAAGAATACGATGAATCCGGTCCAGGAATTGTTCACCGTAAATGTTTTTAAGTCACTCTAAGCATTACAAAAATTAAAATTTTATTTTAAATATTATATTATTATACTAAAAAACAAGGCGTTTTCTTTTTTTTTTGAATCATTTTACTTAAAGAAAAAATACAGTTTGGTATTTTTGAATAAAAAAAAATGTAAATCAAGTTAATTTTTTCTTTAAAAGTATAGTGTTGTTGAAATTTTTTATTTCAATTAACCATCATAGAGTATAGACGCAGATTGTTCAGGGAAACTAGGGAGATATCTCTCCAAACTAGTGAAAACAATAAGATCATGGGCAAAAACATAATTTTACTAAAGCTTGATCTTGTCATATAGTTTTTTAAATTATTGATTATTAATTCCTAAATTTGTTTAGGTATAAATACTATGCATTTATACGTAAATTATACCTTTTGCAAATAATTGAAAGTATTTCGAACATTTATATAAATAAATGATAATTAGATTTAAATTTCGAACAAGATTAAATTGAGATATTAAGATATATTTATTAAACATAAAATAACATTATTTATTAATTAGGTAATATTATTATAATTTTTTTTTTTTTTTATAAAATCATGATTTTATCTGTGTCTGCCATGTTGCATACATTTTCTCTAACAAATATTATTTTTTACAAATAATTATTACTAATAGATGAAAGATATTACTTTTAAACTATGATTGATTAAAAATTAAAAAAATTGTGCTAAAATCTCTATTGTAGGTATTTTCAGCGATTTCTATTAAAATGTCAGCATCACAATAGAGTTTGATTCAGATGAATACAAACTATTAGGTAATATATTTTTGTAATTATTAATTATTTCAAGAAAATTGAAAATTAAATTAGCTAATATAACTTAATAATATTTTAATAATTTTAAGTTTTTTTTTTTAAATTAGTACTGTTTAAATGTTTAAAACATTTTTAAAAATAATATTGTTTTTTCACGAAGAACCTTATTAACGTGTTACAAGAATTTGAGCATTTGGGTTATACTTACATTCATCTATGTACTATATATAATATGTATATACGAATATTTCTTTGATTGTCCTCTTTAGACTCAAAAGCTACTGAATCATTTTCGATAAAATTCTTAAAAATAGATTCCCGAGTCTTGGAGGGTATTTAGAATGCTATCAGGTAGCTCATAAATCTTTTTTGTTTATTTAAATGGTTTCTATAATTAATTATAAATTAAATTACCATTTTATTATTATAATTAGAATAAATGGCGATCAAAAATTGTATATGGTATACATATACATATATATTTTATGTTTACACATAACAATATATTAGGTAAAAAAAAAATCTTAAAATAAATGCTTATGAATACAATAATTAAAATTATAATTAGGTACAAGGAAACAATCAGTAAAGAATTCTAAATAAATAATAAAAACTATGTGGTTATATAAATCTGTTTGAATAAACATAATTTTAAAAACTTTATTTATTATTTTGGGCTATAGTATTTTGTTTACTCTTGACAGTGACATTCGGTGGGTCCAGTAATGTGGTGTACTTACTGGGATTAGGACGAACACGTAGTAAGTGATCATTTTAGTTTTGTACAATTAAAGTGCGTACTGTATACATACTACACATGCATCGGTAGGTACTACAATGAGTAAAAGACAATCGTCTTAATTTGAACTTTTAATATAATTTACAATTACAACTACCGTCTACCAATATAACTCTATATTATTTGTATAACAGCTACTATCTACAAGTAGTTCTTGGATATTTATATACGATTTCTGACCTCTGAAAACTAACAAATGACAGTCCATGTGTCTAACCTAGTTAGATATAAATTAGGTTTATACAAATATATTTCTTACTAAGTACTAGTTGCTCAAAGTTTTTAAAATTGATATTTCTGGACCTTAGTAATAATTCTATCTAAGTATACCCAGCTAAATAAACAATATATTAATTATATACAATTGAATGATGTTAACATTTAATTATTTTTAAAACGTAAATTAAGTTTACTTATAATATTGTAATACATTTAAAAAAAATATAATGTATTATCGAGATAATAATGTGAAATATGCTGTAGGTTAAATGCGTTACCAAGTACCTATATTATCAATATAAGTTATGAAATTTATGGGTATTCATTGAAGCTCCTGGCGTATTGAATAAATATTAACTAGCTACTATATATATTATACCAAGATAGAATAGTAGTGTGTTAGAGTGTTAGGTACCTATATAACAATGAAAATTTCAAAACTATAGTCTAAAAATGTCTAATAAATGTATTGTTATTTTAACTCAATTCAATATTTATTATTTTCATAATCATTTCTTACTTATTGTAGACTATAGTACTTATATATACGTATAATATGCATTTCGTTATTAAAATTTGTATAGCTACCAACCACGTAATAAAAGTATATTAAATTGAACGGTTGCAGAAGTACCTATACGCCAATAAAATGGATTGCATAATACACATCTTCTTAACAATATTATAATACAGTTCTACTCGGTTCTATTTTTTCCTTTCATTTCAGTACACTCAATCACTGTCAAACTAAACCAACTATAAACAAGCGAATACGTATTCTATAGAGTGTAGATGACCACTATAATATAACATGTTGCATAGTTACATGTATATTGTATAGATATTACTTATTAGTTATATATTATTGTTATGTATATATATATCTGTAATAATTGCAATAGGTGTTTCGTATAGTATTATAAATAATAACGCGTTACACTGTCTACGTGTAATTATCGTCCATCGATCATAATTCATTAATATTTACGTATCGTTTCAGTTACTACGTACCAACAATGAATAATGATTAAAAATTTATTTAAATTATATAATGACTAATGAGTAATGACACTAATGATAATTTAACAACTTAAAGAAAAAGGCAATAAAATGCTTTAAACTGTTATTTATAAACATTTATAAAAATGCTAATAAATAAAAAAAGATTTTATATAACTGATAGAGGTGTACAGTTCTCGGTGTAGAAAATTATAAACATAAATCTATATTTTAAAAATCTTCAAGAAAATGTTTTTTTTTTTAATTTTTTTTTTTAGAATTTAGGAAAATGTTAATGATTATGATTTATGCACGTTTAATTTTAGTTAATTTTTAGAATTTAGTATTGCTTTATGCTTATAAATGTAATATCTACTCAATGAATAGTTAATAATCCAATGTATATCAATATCTCGTAGAATAGCGATGCAGAACTTAATATACTAAAATTATACATTATTATTGTTTAGAATATGTAATTCTCGTACCTATGTATATTAATAAACGTATGATTATACCATTTATACCATATTTGTTGATCTCTGGAACAAGAATACCTATGGCAATATTTCACTAAAAAAAATATCGAAATTTCCTTGATTGATATGTTAGAAACTTATACATATTTACTAAATTTTAAAAATAGAATATTTTAATGTTATATGTTTTTGATAAATAATTGTCTAACGAAGTCACAACAGTACATTATAAATAATTCAATATTAGATATAATTATGAATAAATTAAAGCCCTATAAGTTTGTAACTTCTTTAGGTACCTATTTTATTTTAAAAGTTCTAACTTTCTAATGTCGTGCTCAGGTTACTCAAAATTGAATGCTTTTGTTTTTAATTAATGTCTTCTGCTTACTTATAACAATTTTTCATTGATTTTTATTTAAATATTTTTTTATCACACAAGACTATAACTATTTAATTTTAAATTCTTCACTATTTTAATCATATAAAAATACTAATTAATAAAAAGGAATCTGCGATAACAGTAAAATGATACAATTGTCATATTGATGAAAGAAATAATTGTCCGAGAAGTTGGTAGTCTTGGATAATAGAATATATCTATAAATTCTTATAAAATACTAATATAACTTATGTATAACTATTAATTAGGTATCTTCATTTGTTGTAAGTTGAGTTATAAATTAATTTAATTAATAAAATGTAATATACATTAAGTCTTAATGATTAAGAAATCAGTGCTATTGTGGCGTATGTATAAGGTTTGTTAAAAGAATTTGAATTTTATAGATTTTTTTCAGAAAACCTTTATTAGATTTTAAAGGGATTAATTTTACAATGATTTATTTTTCATGTGTGCAGTGTATACGATAAGTATTCAATAAAATGTTTCGATTTTCAACTTTGAAGATGGTTTTGAATAGCAAATTAGATTTAGATTGTATATTTTAGAGAGGTAAAAATTAAAAATATTAAAACTTTTTTTATAATCGGGAAACACAAATAAAAAATGGAAACTTTTACACTGATCACTAGATCACACTTTGATCCACTTATTACCTAATGTACAGCAGAGTGATATCTACTTGTATATCTTTTTTTAATATTATTTTAACTATGTGTTTTCATCGTATATCTGATCAGTAAATATATTGTATTGTACTTACTATATACAGTTGTTCTGTATTACATATAATTTATAATTTATATTATCGATAATTATTTAACAAATTTAGAATCATTTAAAATATTTGTTGTAATTAATAGTGGGGAGTATGATCTGATTGGGGGATACATTTACAATAGGTAGCTACAGTAGGTATATATTAAGACAATTTGAATCTTATAATACCTCAAAAGTAGTGTAGACATTCACTAAGTTAGATGTGGATTCGTAGTGCATAGTAAGTAAAATATACTATTCACATTACCATACTACAATTGTTTAGGTATGAGAAAAAATATAAAATCTTTTCAACTTTTCAATAGTAGCTATAAATAAAATAGGTATTAAGGTAGTAATAATTATGTAGTATTAATACATAATAATTTTATATGAAATTAAATATTAGTGTAGATAAAATGTGATATAATAATTAATAAGCAATAGCAAACTCTTCTTTAAATTTTTAACTGTCATTTGTATCATTTTTAATTAAGTACATCTTTCTGTGTTATTATTACTTTTTTTTATTTGCCTAACGTTAATTATATTCACTGAAATAAAAATTATAATATTTTTTTATATATAATAAAGATA